CGACTATTGCTATATGGATGCAAGATACGATGCAGGCTACCAATTCCCAAGCCGGTTTGATATGGCTTCCATCTTTCTTGCCTCATGTCTTGGGTGTCTATACAACAGTTAAATTGGCTGAAAAATATCCCCAATACCAATGGCTTATGGCTGCGGTTGGACTTCTTCTTGAAGGCATAAGTTGCCTTTTTATTCCTATGTGCGGCAATTTTGTTGCTCTAATGGTTCCCATCTGCATTCTCTGCTACGGCATCGCTCTGGTTGACACTGCAATCCTTCCATGCCTGGGATATCTTGTGGACACTCGTTTTGTCTCTGTCTATGGCTCTGTATACGCTATTGCTGACATATCTTATTGTGTCGCCTATGCTATCGGACCGATAGTTGCTGGGAACCTTATGAGTATTATGAATTTCATGGGTCTAAATATTTGCATTTGCATTATCACCTGTGCCTATACACCATTACTATACATTCTACGAAAGTGTCGTATTCCAGATGAGGAGAGAAACAAGAAGATGGGTATCATTGACGAAGAGGAGGATGAAGAACAACTAGAGGCTTTAGATGAAATAAAAAATCTGAAATCACAGGATTCAATGAGCAGAAAATCTCGACTTAAGCGCCAAGAGACAGCACGCTTTGAGCCGGCCGGTTGTCGACGAGCAACCTCAATTTCCAACGAATTTGCAATGCGTTTAAAGCAGCTTTCAATGGAATGCCCCGGTTATGAGCAAGGAGATGCCCCCAATGTTATGGAGGCTAAACAGGTTTATTTGGCGGACGGATCAAGAGGCGTTGTTCTAACTTCTCAGAATACTAACATGCCAGATGGTAATCCAAATGTCTATACCAAAGATAGCGGCTATGGATATCAATGAAATGTGATGCTTATATTTATTACCAACTCAAATATCAGCATAAAGCAACTACTTTCAGCTTAGCAAATAAATGTTTTGGCCCTTGTGGTTGAATATACATGTGTGAACAATCAATATCTTGTCTTCTCTGTGAATGGTGCTTTGATGTCTGATGTGAGACATTTTATTCACATATATAACAATTGAAAGAGTAATCGATTGTTGTGCATTCATAACTAGGGAAAGCAACGTGGGAGATGTCAAGAAGCGTGAAGGAGTTTGTTCGTCGGATTTCATTACAGGACCTCGAAGGATACCCAGAATGGGATTTATCGGTAAACAATTAAAGGCTAAATTTAACTTGAATCTAAATAGGTTATTGCCTCAGTAAATTATCGTGCAATAAAAGACCCAATATAAGTCAACCATATTTACATTATTTAGCAAAGTGGGCAGATAATCAAATTTGTGTAAAAATTTCTTCGTTTGCCAATTCATTTACTTCGCATGACAGAAGGTGAAATTTTTACAAATTTCCATCTCTTGAGGCAACTTTTAGACCCGCAGGAACTGAGATGAATTCTAAAGTCATGCAGTTGGGTGTATGAGGATAAGTGAAACAATTTATCAATTTCAAATTTGTGTAAAAAGTGTCACTATTGGCAGATAGGCCTGTCAAGTGGTTAAGAGCATTAAATCATCATTTTGAAATGATTCTTTCCCATAGTCTGATATTGCTTTCCTGCGTTTGTTCACTATTGGTGTTAGGATTCATTTTCTCTTCATCTATCAGACTTGGGATTCCTAATACCTAAAAAGTATGTAAGTAGAGTGGAAGACGAATAGAGTGCCCTTCAATTGGAATGGAGGCCATAGTGATGAAAGTCAAAATGCTCAACATTCTAGAATTCCCTTATTCATTATTCAATATCATTGCTGTTTTTATTATTTTCAATAATTTATTGTAATCAGTCGCCAAATTTTCTTCACTGTGAATTGATTGTGTCTCAGGTAGTTAGAAGAATTTATGGGAAAAGGGAAAAATAAAGTATCTCAAGAGAAAACAATTTGAGTTGATGAAATCTGTTGTTTTAACGGGAATGTGTTCTTCCTTTTTTCTCTACAACAGTAATTCATCTCCATTCATTATTTTAGAAACCCCTGCCGAGATTACCAGTGCCAGAGCTTCGAACCACTCTCACTCGTTATCTTGGTGTGGTGGCACCCATTGTCGACGAGGAGACCTTCGTAAGAACTCGATGTCTTGTGCATGAATTCCTGCGTTCTGGCGGTGAAGGAGACAAACTTCAGGCTGAACTCAAAGCCTATGCAAAAACACAGAATAATTGGGTATGTGAGAAACTGCCCCATAAGTGAATGAGGCGGTAGTAACAAGTACTGCAAAATATCGTTATCCAAACTCTTCCGCTTTAACCAACAGTCCAAGATGAAAGAAAAATTAGATAAAAAATGGAACAAGCCAAATGACAGAATTCAAAATTCATTCGAAAAACATTATCTCAAAACGCTTTACTAGGGTGAAACAAGGCACCCTGAGATTGATTTTGTAAGTAAACACCTCCCCTATTAAGCAGGTTTAACTTGTGTGGTTAGATATCAACAGCAATGAATGTGTATCGATGGACATAGAACACGTTAATCGCCGTGTGTATTAAGCGTATGAAAGCATTATTTCAATTGCATGATTAGTTCCTTTGCAAGAAACTATTTAGGCTTTTAACAAGGAGATAATGTCTTGTTTAACTTTCCCCTAATCAGTATGACTTTTGATTAAATGACACTGACCATAGCATTGGTCTGATGATCTAAAGTTTGGACCTTCTGAAATACTAAATAGAATGTAACAGATCAACATATTGCCAGAAAGATTAGTATTTAAGATCTTGTAACTTTAAACTATTTTCAAGGTTTAAAACTAATATTAGTTTAATTTCGCTAGATCTGTTTTCAAAACATCGTTGTATCTGTAAAAGCAACGAATTCACTACTATTTTGACTATTTTCAGGCATTTTCTTGGTGGCTGGATGACATGTACCTCAAAAATCCCCTTTCATTGCCAGTGAACTCGAATCCGGGAATGGTTTTCCCGCGTCACCAATTCATTAGCGCACGTCAACAACTTCGGTATGTAAATCATCATGATATTCAAAAAAACCTTTTGCAAGTGCTTGAAAATTGGCGTATTTAAGCATTTTCTAAAAGAAGCAACAGGAGTTAAGAATGGACAAACACTTTGAATAGGGTATAGTTACTTTCATTCGTCAAAGAAAGTGTTCCGAATGAGCCTAATATGGTGAATGTTCAGGACAGTAACGCGTAGTGAGAGTTATATGTATGTTCTCCTGAAAGTTCCAAGTGCTCACCCTATTTCCTTAATGTTAGTTGTAATCTTTGATGATCAGTGAGCCCGGTAGATGTGGTAATGTAACATCACCAACAAGTTATTCCTGCCTGATTTAATACTTCATACAATCCAATATATCATACGCAGCCTGCTACTGTAAAGATGTCATCTTCAATTCTCAATATTCGTACTTGTAGTTCCAACATCCACTACCTCAGAAACTAATGCACTTATTTTATTCATTATTTTAAAATATGTCATTTGAATTATATATACTTTATATATACTTTATGACTTAAGTTTAAGGAAGCAAGCCTTTTAAAGAGTATTCAATTACTAAACAGGTCATCTTCTTCCACTTAACAGGGCGAGTAAATCAAGGTTTATGCCACTGGATTTGGGGCAAAAGCGTTATCCAACCAGCATAAATAGATTAAGATAGGATGCGAATTTACCATCTTTTTCGTATGATCACTTTTCTTCTAGTTTTGACGCCTAATTATTTTCTAATATAAATAGAGCAACATTTTAGCCAAAAACTGGTTCAGACGCTTTGATACTTTGGAGTTCTCCCCCCCCCCCCCCCCCCCCCCCCCCCCCCGCCCCCCCCGCCCCCCTTCCTGCCCCTCCTACAACTTTGATACAACTTACCTCCTTGTACTTCATATCTATAAGTGATTGGAAAGGAGTGAGTAGGTGAGGAAGAGGGAGGGAGGGAGGGAGGGGGGGGGTGGTGGAATGCGAGCTCTCACGCCGAGAAATTGAAGACACGTGGGTGCAAACTGGGATATTCCATGCTTGCATTTCCGTAAATATTTTTTCCAAAAAAATTGGAATTTAACTGATATTGTATTAGAGTCCTAATAATTCCATAAATATTATTAAAAGAAACCTTTAAAACCATATTAAGTAGACATGAAATAACTTGCAAATCGGATCATCATTTGTTTACTAATTAGTTAAATGACTGAATCTTAAGTAAGTTAATTGTTTTTTTTTTTAAATCTAAAAAATTCGGGGAGTTATTAAAATCTAATCATTTTAACATCTAATTTGAAATACCTTTGACTCTCGAAATAGAAACTTAAGAGAAGGTCTTGACCTTTGAATAAGGTTAGCCTCATACAATTTTATAAAATTCTCACCACTAAGATAAAGAATGGAAAAATGTTCGAAGTGAGGATTATGAAGATAGAGAGCTTTCGTTGGAAAATGCCGCATTTGTGGATTGCTAAGACAAGTTATACAACAGTTCGTGAAGCAAATCCCGCTTGAATTTTAAATCTGCGAACCCGTGAACTCAAAGACATTAAAACAAGAATTGTTGCAATCATGAGATTCATGAGTTACTTATAAAGGAAATTCACGGATTTTCAGAAGTCATTTTATATTTGCTATAGAAATTATTTTAATTATTCCTTTTGAATTCCTTATTAAAATCAATTTTAGGGTTCAACTTTGATTTCAATACACTCGGTTGTTTTTTCTTTTACTACAATTTGAGATAAACATATTATTCCATACATACGAAACCCATTTCAAAAATAAAAATATAATTCCATGGAGTGCCTATGAAGTTCTTCATATATTCAGTTTTATATGATTTAAGACGAATTTATGCTTTCATTATAGATTCGCAGCTCAATTGATTTCTGGAATTTTGGATTACAAAACTATACTTGATACGTAAGTGAATGATAATTCTGTTTATTTTTCCACAATTAAAACGCAGTTTATTTATTGAGAGAAATATTTGGCCAGCCAAATCTCACTATTTCCATCGATGATGTAGGGAATTGACTGGAAATAATATATTGAAAATGGTATTTTTCACCTGCGAGCACAAATTGGCATCTTAAATAAATACACATTTAATTGAAATGCGTTGCCAAAGTTCATCTCAAGCAAACGAGCCAACAGGCAAGCAGTTGATATCTTGTTATTCTATTTTTGTAACCAAATCACTAATTTTCCAAGTCATGCAATGCTCCTATAAATTTAACTGCTAAAACTCGACTCTTCAATCCACATCATCTCCACCACCCCTCCAGATTGGTTCGTGATCATCCTCTGCTTCTCCAACGCTTCACCTCCTTCCCATGTTTGGGTAGTGGGGAGCGGGGGAGGAGGGGGGTGGGGGGGTGGGGAGATTTTTGGATGGGGATGGAGGTAGACGGGAGAGATGAAGAAAGTCTCGTTTAAGTTGGTCTTGCACGCAACCCTCAAGTCAAGAAATGATGTTCCGAGCATCGGCCGCTTCCGACCAATCTCCTCTCTCTCTCTCTCACTCCTTTATACAGAACCACTCCCACGAATTGTGTGTTGCTTGGAAAAAGTCAGTGGATATATATATATATAACCGCATCAATTATAGTGCTTCAGTGAATAAAACAGGAGAAGAAGTTTAAAGAAACTTCCATTTCGATCGCAAGTACTTTTAAGCAGCATATTTATTTAAAGAACTAAAGAATGAGGAAATATTATGTAACATTTTGATAAGAAAAGACAGTAATAGAATAAGTTAGAAATTGATTCTATAATACGCGTTCAAATTGCTTAATATTCTGAAAGGCTTTTTAATTTAATATATATATATATCATTACGATCGACTATGACAAGGGAAGTATTACAATTTCAATCAGTGTGATCGTCTCGAGAAAATGCAGTCTAGTTACGGTTCAAACCATTTCCTAAGAGGTAATTCGAAAGGTTGATTCTTGTCAAGTTTAGATTTTGAGTTCTGATTCAAAACTGAATTTAAATTTTTTTCTATCAACATCTTTATATTGAAGTTCCGAGTAGACAATTGAACATAATTTCGTAACTACCACATTTACATAAGTTTTACAACAATCTTCCAAGGGAAAATGGACTTTGCCTCTTCATGGATCGTTCACGCAGTTATGGCAGTTTGCTTGTCAGTGATTTCACACCTCATTCACATTTGCAAAAAGTCGATAATACTAGCCATCCACTCAGACCACCATCCACACTCATTTACATGCACTTGACGCTCTCGTAATAGAGGCTTGAGGATTCAACATCTAAATATTCCTCTTTTCGCACCGACCACCACCTTTACAACAACTGTGAACTGCCTAAGACAGCACTTTGGAGGGGAAATTTTCGTCTATTATAGTTCACTAACTGATAATTCAATAAAAATTTGACAGTTTCATGGCTAAAATTAATCAAACTTGCCGTTAGCTCTGAAGTGGTTCAACAATGATCCTAATATTGATTTTTGTTGACAGCGCCTTGATCTGCCCTTTGTTGGACATCAATGGATATGTTAGAACCGATGTTACTACCTATTAATATTTTTATACTTTTCCATGGCAATTGCATAACAAATTTAAAAAGCATTTGACAAAATATGGTTTATTTAGAAGCATTAAGTTGTGTGCTACGTAGGTAGATTACTTACAAATCGCGATCCATAACTAATGCATTTTTCTTATGGAATATCAATTACAGTCGCTCGTTGCCTATTGATCGAGTTTCACATAACAGGAAAGGGCAACCACTCTGTATGGAACAATATTATCGTCTTTTTACCTCCTATCGCTATCCGGGTCGCAACAAAGATAAACAAGTGACTCGTGATCTTTCGGAGGTGGCTCAAGATGCCCACTGCATTGTAGCATGTCAAGATCAGGTTCGTTTTCCGCTGAATTGAGTCCATTTACTTCTCAAAGCATACACATAAGCTCAGTATTTTTAAATAGACGGTGGAGATATTTCGAAGCTCTATTTTAACCTGTTCCTCTTTGCACTTAATATCAAAAGACTACATGAGTAGCTCACTGATGTTTGAAGAACAGTTCTCAGGGAAATTTTTAAGCGATCGGACTAATTTAAATTAGATGGGATTTGAACTATCTTGTACTTTACTAGTCACGTATTTCCCTACAGAATTGGTAAGGGTAAATCTCTCTATACTTCAAAACTATCGCTTCAGAAACCAGAGACTGTGGAAGTTAATTGTTTTTTACTTTCTGAATTATACCAAAACTGATGGAACACAAAAGCTTATATTAAAAATTTCCTGTTCCATTAATCAAATAAATGGGAAATCCACTTTCAACCACGGGAATCAACTTGATTAGCTCTCAAAGTTCTCGTCAAATTACCCATGAAGTAAAAAGATTTTATTTGAAAAATTAAAATTTCCTTGAAAATGCCTCACTTTTAATAGACCCCTATTATTCCAACTTTTTAGGGCTACTATTCTCTTGTCAATTTTGTATGTCTGGTTGATAATTTAATAAATTTTTTGGTGTATCTAATAGGTTTAATAAAATGAAAAAAGTGAAAAAAAGAATCGCACATTATTTTGTCATTTCTATTCATTCTATGCTTAAAATGTCTTGGTTAAATATATCAATTGATGAACTTAACGAAATGCATTAGACTGCCTTTGAGGTAGACATGAATAGACATATCATTTTTTCCAGTGATTGGTTGTTAGAGGACTAGGAGGATTTCGTAAACACTCACTCTAGTGTACAATTAATACTTTTCATAGAAGGATGACTAGCAGTTTCACCCATTTATCCCTCCTCATTTTTGTCAGTTCTATAAACTCGACCTGCTGTCACAAGATTATCGACTTGGTGAGGAGGAGATATATAATCAACTTCGTCGGATTGCCAGGAAGGCCTACGCCAATAAGGAGAAGGTTCCGCGAATTGGGGCATTGACAGCTCTGCCTAGACTACGGTGGGCGGAGGTCTACGAAAACCTCTCCAAAGGTGAGTTTACGACTTTAAAGCGCCCATAACAAGCGCTAACACTAAGCCTATAGGCATGATTTTGTGGTATTGGTTCTGGTCGGTTAAGGGTTAGAAACACTAGCAACTCTTTTAGTTCATATGTGAACTTTTATGAAATTTATGATTATTAGATCAAGTGCTTAAATTACAGTTATCTTAGATAGGCCGAAATGTATTTATTTACAAGGCGCTTTATTACTGTAGGAAGTGTTTTCCAAGAAGGTTTTCATAAGGGATCATCGTATAAATATGGCTTATAAATGTGAAGTGGCATAAAGTCCTTGAGATGAACGAAAGCAGGATATGAGGATTAATACGTATGCCCATAAAAATTAGTAACTACGATGACTCAATAATTGTAATTCCTCACCTTAAGCTAACACCATGAAGCTGAATATATATTCTAATCTGACCAATTACAATACTGATTTTTCGTGCCTCACTTTCCTATTAGTCCACTTGGTGCAGGGTATCTTCCCTTTATTGGCTAAGTTGTGACCCACTGTTAAGTTGATTTATGGTTAGCATCAAGGATATGGGTCGTCTTTGCATTATTAATGCTAAAGGTCAAGACACCGAAAGATTAGTGATAATTTTTTACCCAACCAACTATAAAGTTAGCGAGAGCGAGAATGAAGGAAGAACTGCAAAGAACCTCCTAGATAAAGCATAAGTTCTGGTAATTTGAGGTTCAACGTAGGCTCAATATCATGGCGAACGCATAGTTCACCGGTAAAAAAAATTATGAATAAATTTAAAGGGATTACAAAGAAGAGTAGTTTGTTCCACAACTCCTACCCTGCAAATTCTTGCTTTTGACCTTTACGCAAAGATCCCTTGAACGCTCAGAACCTGGACGACATTGCAAAGAGCATGTTTATTCTATGTCTGGATAATTCTCCCGTACCGGTGATTGAATCTCTTGACGAAACCGAAATCACTGCTGAAAATGGCGAGGAGTACGTGTCTGAGCACTCGCAGGGGATTCAATACCGAAAAGACGCTTTCCTTGCAGAACAGATGCTTCATGGACAAGGCAGTAAATATAATGGAGCTAACCGATGGTATGACAAAACTATGCAGGTAAGAAACTAAGAATTATTATATTTTATATTTATTGGCAAGCATGCTGACTTTATATGTTAAAGCTATTCACTGAGAGATGTCAGTTTTACTCACGTCAATGTCTGCGTGATGATTGGCTGACGTGTTGATATGTGTACACTAGGGTTACCTATGTGCATGGTTCATCGAACACTTATTCGCACCGAACTACTTGATGTTAATTGACATTAGCTAGTTCCAGCAATATTACACCTAGTCTTTTAATAAGAGGAGCGATTGTTACATTGGGACGGGGAGAGTTGAGAATATTTATTTATATCAAATGGTAGGCTTTATGATAGTTACCGATAGTCCTTTAGTTGACTTCAGGCTTCAAGGAGGGAGGAGGAACATCAAAGTCACGAAATATCGAGTGGTTGGGGACTGGAAAATTGATTCACAGATGTGGAAGAGACTGACATAAATGTAGAAGAAAAAGGAAAGGTAAGTACTGTGAAAGTGGTCAAATATGACTTACAGTGGGGTCATGGTAGTTTGGAGTCAATTTCTGGTTATCAGACCTTTTTGTCCTATGAGTTACTATGCCTAGGATGCATTTTGTGGAGGAAAGTCCGTCGTGCGCCTCAAGTTAAGAATATAAGAGATTTTCATTTCGCCACTTTTATTACTACTACGTATAATATACCCAGAAGACCCCATAGAGGACAGGCCTTCTACTGGACCTCATCTTAATAATGTTTACTCCATTTCAACTGTCTAGATAACTGACGCGACTCATTTGTCTCATAGAGGGCGTTTAGCATACTCCAGTTGAGGGTCTGTAAAGGAGATCATTATTGCTTCCGAGGACATATAATCAAACAAATTCTATTTGTTTGCTAAAAGGAAGGCGATGGAGAGCTTAAGTTTCCAATTTGCGCTCCTAGCAATAAAGAATACGATTTTGAGATGTCTTTGCCTAATAGTACCCAGGGGAGTTTCCTGAGCGAAAACACGCTTTTTAGAGGTAAAAGAAGACGATCAAGAAAAATTCGCAAAAAAACATTTATTGCCTTGATGAGCATGAAAATTTAACTACCGAATGGTTAACTGTTATGAAACAGTAGATATACAAGTAATTTCGCATAGATAAGAAAACAATACTCTGTCAAGTTTATACAGTCATTAAATAGCTTGAAATAAGCTGAAAGACTTTTAACTTGACGATCTAGGAGGACTTAAAAGTACAAAATTAATATTCACAGTGTAAAACAGGCAAGTAAAGTTTCCTGTGGATGTCTACAAGTCAGAGGTCACGAACCGAATGTCCATAGATGCAGAACTCGTGAAGGGTTTGAACATCCGTCCTGGTTAGTCCTGTTCAACATGAGTTGTGGTATGATGTGCCTTCTCAAAAGAACAGCACCAGAGAACCTCTTCTCCTTCTAATGAAATTTGACGTTCTTAGCAAACCAATATTTTATTTGTACGACTTGATTTAATGAATAAGTCTTCATCTAAATTTTTAGGGAGGCATTTTTTCGTTTTCATTTTCATTTTAGTGCTTCGTGCCAATATTCTAAATACTGGGATATTCAATGTTAAGGAAATACACATTCGCATGAATTTGAACTTGAGAACTAAGTGTCGCGTGTCAAAACTGATAAATGTCGGAATGGAGAAAAATTAAAGCCACCGATATTTGCAATCTATGCAGCCTGCTACTTGGTTTATATGTTCAATAGTATTTACAAGTAAATTGGCAAATAACATTAATTAGAAGTAGAGGATAACTTTAGGTAATGTGCTCAAAACGCAATCGTATGTTAAAGCCGATGTTGTGGTAAATAAAAGCTGCTTCTTAGAGTTGTTTTCTATAAGGATAGATATTTATATAGAACTACCCTCTAATTAACTCACGCAAGCGAAGACATTTGGGTTGGTCGTTAATTATGATTCCGCGTGGTGACGCTCTTTTGCCGAAACACTTGAGACAAAGGGAAGACGGACGATTTTCATCTCATTCACTCATTTCACAAAGCCACAAGTAATAAGATTAATTAAGTTGATTATCCAAATGCGTATTGACGTTGGAGTTTAATATTGCCCTCGATTATCAATTTTTAGCCTTTTATGTAGGAAACAGTTTTGGTGTATCGTCAACAAGAGCAGCCCTATTCTCTCTTCTCTGTCCTAACAACTGTTCCATTTTTTTGCTATTCCACATCATTTCTAGTGTTTGTGTAAGGAAGTTTACAAAGTTACGAGGCAGCTGCTAAGTTATTTCCCCTTATTTTGATATTTAAGTTTGTTCCTCTCCTTTGTGTAGAAGGAGGGAGGGAGGCAAGTGATAGTTGAAAATCAAGCATGTGAGGTTGCATGAGGAAATGGGTGGGTTGAAGTGGGGGGGGGGGCAATCCATCAATTCACTTCCAACATTTATCATCCAAGTTCTTTCTTCTTAGAAAGTGGCTTTAATTATTCCTTTCTAGGCACGATAGTCTATTGGCCTTTAGTATGGCAATAGATTAAAAGTTAGTGGAGAGACGACTGCACTAGTTTTAATTTTGAATATTTATATCAAATGGGAGGCTTTATGATAGTTATTATTATTATCCCTTTAGTTGACTTCGAGCTTCAAGGTGGGAGGGGGAACATCAAAGTCACAAGAAGTCGAGGGTGGAGGGACAGAAGAGTGATTCACCGATGTGAAGGAGACAACCACAAAGGTAGAGAAAAAGGAAAGGTGGGTACTGTAGAAGTGGTGGAATATGACTTACAGTCTGGTCATGGTAGTTTGAAGTGAGAAGTCAACTGCCGGTTTATAGACAATTTTGTAGTATGAGTACACTTTGCCCAGGGTGCACCACATTTTGTAGTATGAGTACACTTTGCCCAGGAAAGTCAATCGCGCACACCTAATTTTGGAATATAATTCTCTCGAAACATTTAATCATGTTGGAATGACTCAAATCATGACATATTTACTTATAGATAAGGCCATTTAAGGACGAACAAGGGTAGTTACACAAATCTAGAGGGGGAATTATGGCACACACGATATTTCAGGTCAAGACCAGTCGGTTCAGGACACGGCTGGTTGAAGTGAGCGATTCCATGTCAAAATCATAAGGGATAGTATCGTACAAATTTATCTTATTAGAATGCACAAAGACACTGTAATCAATCGATGAAGATTGTAATTAGATTTATACATTAGCCAAGTGACCAAGGTAAATTGCTATTATGGTGAAAGTTAAGACTGTACACCATTTATCCAAAAATTAAAAAATAATGTGCGAATCTTTAAATAGACCAAATTTATTTCTTAACTCCATCTTCAGGAACATTCATTATTTCATTAACTTATCTTATTGTTTTCGGTTTTAGAATGCTTCCTGGCTTTCTGAGGTCAATAATAGCTGCATAATTACGAAATGTGTATTAGTTCGAAGAAATTAGTTAGAGAATACAAATACTCCAAGCGCGATATCTTATTAATACACATAAACTACTAATCTAAGAATCTTACTTATTGTCATTGCTGTTACCCACAATAATGTAAAATATTTAATAAATTTTAATTGTTATGAGCGGTCCAACAATAGTTAATAGGAAAGGATCAAAAAGATGCTTAGGTCGACGTCAGTAGATCGAGTAATTCTGCTTCATTGAGTTTTTGAATTCTGGCTGCACAACATTCGCTAAATGTGTGCCTCGCGTTCCAGAATTTAATCTTCATGATGAGTCCTCTGGACTGCAAGGATGCATATCCACTATCTTCCTCATTAACTAATCTGATTTACTGATTTTCTTTTCTTAATCAAGAGGGGTGGATCTCGGCGCTTTGGGCTTTTATTCAAGCCTGATTCTAACAACCCAAGTTTAGGTTATTTTTCATCGTTCTTTTTTCCAAAGTTTGAGAGATCGCTTTTTCACAGATAAAAAATACTGCTCACAGAGAATACTGAATAGCCACATCATTCCAAAATCTTCTATAACTTCCTGTTATTCCGAAGTATAGTTGGCGTCAGTGAGGCAAAATATCTTTTTCAATCATAACTTCACAATCAAAAAGTTTTGTCGACTGCATTTGAGTATCTCGTCTTTTCACTCTGTCTCAGAAGTGAGTTATTTATATTACTATTCGTGAGTCCAAGACTAATCAATTATCACTTCTTTTCGTGCATGAAAAGGACGCAAAAACGTTCGGAGAGTGGGGGGGGGGACGGGGTGGGGTGTTTTGAAATTAGTTTATCCAGAAAGTAGTCGCTTCCAGCCTTTCACTCTCTCAAGGTGGTAATCAAATTTGCTCCTCACAAACTTGTGAGGATCATCTCATCTACTTCCCAACACCTCCCCCACCTCCTCTCCCTTTCGCATGGAAGAAATAGTGGTAATTAAATGCCCTGGGGGACATGGGAAGAAGAGGAAAGCAGAGTGAGAACGGATGAAAAAGTGAGTGTGTGCGTTTGGGTCTGTGAATTCAAGTCAAATTAATATTTAGTGAGTTAATCAATCTCAGCGATAAGCCTCTACTGCTATTTGAGCGCATGAATGTGAAAAACTTTAATGCATACATTACATTATTTTTATGCAACAAAGGTAGTGTTTTTGTTGAAAACTCCCAACAATCTATTAAAGTTGTCAAGGATTTTCACTTTCTAATCATTGAATTTGGCTATCCAACATTGGGCAAAAACATCCCCTCTCTCTTTTACCCTCATATAAATGTGAAATACCATGTTTACAAGTTTTCCACTCTTTGTCTCATTTGGGTCATTAAGACTGTCAAAGAAGGGGAAAAGTTGAGTTCATAGCTTTTGGCCAATCACATTGAGGTTGGAGATAGCCTTAGTCTCCGTCTTAGATTGCAACAAGTGATGTTGGCACCTTTAAGGTAGTAATGGAAAGTTTTATGTGATTTATTAATTCATTTTTCGTTTCCTCCTTGCACTTTTGGGCAAGTATGTTCTCAATTTTGTGCAACATTAATAATAAGGTGAGAAATCGTTTGTACAATGGCAAATATCGCGAGGACACAAATTGGCAAAACCGCTGTTGTCAAATGACTCATCGACCATCTAATTTATGTCTTCTTTATCTCCTACAGTTTATTGTATCTCGAGATGGCAACTGCGGTCTTAACTACGAGCATTCAGTGGCGGAGGGCGTTGCTGTTATCCGACTCATCGAGTACATCCTTAAATATATGTAAGCCTATTAAAAGTCTGCCCCTACATTTAAAATCATTTTCCCTGATTACATAAAATTGACTGGTTTTATCGAAGTACAATTACGCAGCCTTAGGACATAATTCGAGAGAAAAGGTTCACCATAGTGCCAACTTTGAAGAAGGCGCATCATATTTAAAGCAGCCCTCTAAAACAATTTTGAAAGCCCGACGACGTTTGGATTTGAGTTATTAAAAAATACTAGGATGAAGGCTAAGGAAAACAATCCTTTCAGGAATCGGGAAGTGAAAATGTAAGAAACGGCAGTAGAAGTGGGAGTGAAAATGATGGAGGAATCGGAATAAAGGTCTTGGGGTTTAGGAGGAAGGAGAACAATAGTTAGCTTATTCAGAGAGAGGAATTGGGGTTGTGATATAGAAGACGGGGTAAGGTCTTATGAGAAAGTTAATTGATTTCATATCCTCTGTTCGTCGGTAAACAATCAATCGGAACTAACAATTTTAAAACTACGACTTACAAACTAATGAGTCAGCGTCTACGTTCGCCAGAATGTCACTTATACAAAGGCAACTGCAACTGCGGCATTGAGCCTCTGGAGGTCATTCCAAGTCGGCTACTAGTTGTGTTCATCGATATTTTCTATTACGTATCAAAGTCTGGTAATTATTTTTGTCTCTTAATAAAAAAATAAATTTTTTATTATATCTGTTACTTCCTGCGCGTTTCAAGGGAAGAGGTTAGAAGTTGGCAGTTCATTCGACACACTTCGATCTGTTCATTGCCCGAACCAACGGTACTTCGATGGAACGTGAATGATGGCACCCAAGCTGCCATCAACGAAGCTCTTTCCGAGATTGACCGGTTAGTTTTAACAACAATTTATTTGCATAAAAATTAATAAAAAAATTTAATAAGTGGTTGGAATGTTATATTTGGCTGCTTTAATGTTTTTTAAAATTGTATTAAAGAAAACGTGTTTTACTAAAGGACATAAAAATAAATTTTCGCATTTTATAGTTGTTTTAATTTACGGATTTTAAACATGACTTGTGCATTGTTTCCTTAACATCCACAAAATAGTGTCACATTCCCTAGAGCGAGAATTTAAATTTGTTTCCCGTTTTCTTAAATAAAATTAAACTCTTTGCACGAAAATATATCTTGCTTGTAATCGAGAGACAAGATTTTGACTCAAAACAAGGATCTTTCTAAGTTATGACAGTGGAGAAGTGAACTGTGGTGAACTTCAGAATGCCCCCAGGAAAAAAAACGGTAAGAGTCAGTAGTTAAAGAGAGACGTACAAGTGGTGTGGGTGGGAAACAGGGTGGGGTAGTTGGAAACCGGAGGATGAATCTTGGATGGGGCAGCACAAAGGAGGATGGGGAGGGGGTGGTAACTTTTTAATACCGACATCGTAATTACAGAGTCCATGAGATGGGAAGACGAAGAGAGGAAGGCGGGGAGGGGTGTGAGGGCAAAGGTAGTTTTAGTTTGTTGCCCATATTTGGGAAAAGTAGTCGCTTTTTATTGTAGTTGAAATGTCTTTTTCGTCTTTCCAATGAAGCAAAATAAGAAAATACCATGTGTCTTCTCTCTCTCTCCCTCTCTCTCTCTCTCTTGAAATATTGATTGCCTTTCAGTGAAAATATAACTTAAATTTTGACAGGGAAAGGTAATCTCGGAATTACGGGAGCTATTTCACATAAACTCATTCATCAAAAGAGACCTAATTATCTGATTAATAATTCAACTGGAATTAAGGGAGCCATTTATAATATATTCAATTCCCAGTCTATGTTGGAGGAAATAAATGGGCTTGATCGTAGATAAATAATTTCTTATTTAAATGTCCACAATCTAAGAACATTCAAGAAGAATAGAGAAAACTTGCTATTCACTTCTTGCTTTTACGAACATCAATTCTACGCGCTAGGAGTGATGTAGAGATTGAGATGGCAGAGTTTAATTGATGGAGGGAGAAAGTAACTAAGTATATGCGTTGCATAATCAAGACGAAGTGAAGAAATATAAAGAAGAAAGTGTGAAACTGTTTCCTCCTCACAATAACGAATTGATAATTTTAACTAAGGTAGTATTGAAACTAAAGAAATATTTGTTAACTAAATGAAGGCATGTGCATATATGTTGTCGAAAAATATGACCCATCTTCAAGGTATTAGTCCTTTGACGCCCTTAGAACCACACGGTTCTCTTTCAAAATAAGCTCAATTATTACAAGACTAGTAACAGAAGCCGTTATTGGCGTTGGAAACATGTTTGATACGTCTACAGCCTTCGCCTGATACCACAGAGGTGGCATCTGTCTGCTGTGAGACACGCGTGAGTGGGGTTGGATTAAAAGATTTAAATAGGAGGAAACTTGGAGTTACCAGTAATGAATGAGTACATAATCTACAATTAAATTGTTGCGATGGCATTAAAGTATAAGCACTACTGAATTCTTTTTGGTCACGCCTGCCAGTTGATTTTCAAATCCCACTCTTCTCAAAGGATTCTTAATCCTACTTTTCCCAAGGCGGTGTCTTCGTCGTACAGTGGCTCTTAATCACTGCTTATAACTCTTTAGTTATTCATGAGTAGCCATATTTCAATGAAGCACACATTCCAAAACGATTAACGAGAGTGGGAGAGGTGGAGAGAGTGAAAGGAAAGGAATGGATTGTAGACTTACTCCAAAAAATTCTCGACTGAGTGTGCCATTATTTCAATACTCAACTAGAACGTTTCTCTTTTAATCTCTTAATGATAACCATAAGTCAAAGACGGTTGTACAAATATCAACCTCTACGCCAATCCATTTTAGACTAGCAGAAAACCTGGACCTCTTTGTGTTGAGATTCAACGAATTTGGTCGGGACTTTCCGAAAACCGTCAACATGAGTCCAGACTCCTTCATTCAACTCGCCCTTCAACTCACCCACTACAAGTACGTATTTCGTGAAACTATATGCTACTTAAAATTTCTTAAATAAAGTGAGACACAAGTCTGTTTATCGTCTGACAGAATTCACGGCTGTCTTGTGGCGACATATGAAAGCGCATCGACAAGACGCTTCCAGCAAGGTCGTGTGGATAATATTCGAGCATCCTCTATCCCGGCACTCGAATGGTGTCGCGCTATGGTGGACAAAAAGTGTTTAACTACGGTAAATTGACTTGATTCAAACAAAACTCTTTAGTTTTATCTTCAAAGTTGACCAGGCAACCAAGCGGTGGCGTTTCGTTAAGATCTACATTTTGGTCGGGTGTCACTTCGATTTCTGCTTTTCATTAAAGAAAAATCGGATCCGAAAACATGTTATGACGTTTCTTGTTATTTCAAAATGTGCACATAAACATTCCAGCTTTATTCCGAAAGAGAATACACCTATAGGAAGCTAACTGAGTTCACTTATTGCTATGTTAGTTATAACACAATTACAAATAGGTGATTAGTAAACCATTGAATTCATTCGGTTGTTAAGCGATCTATAGTTGTAATGCAAGAGGATCCATTTACCTGCCTCAAAGAAGCTATGAATGGAAGAAAGTTATTCGAAAATAATGAATTGGCACCACCAGAGTATGGTAAAGTTTTGTCAGCATGCAGTATAGGTCATGTTACCACTTTGTGGATCGAAGGAATTTTAAAAATTTCCCGCCTGTTATTTGAGGTCTAGTTTCTTGACGCCAATTTTCCTCATTTTTTAGATCTAGGTAACAAATCAACACTGCTCAAATCTGTGCTTAACGAAGGATAGGTGCCCAAATTAGATTTAATTAGATTTTGTACAATTTTATATATAGGATCGTTTTCTCGGACAATTAATAAGAATTTTTTTATACATAGATCGAATGCATTCTTGATATTTTGAGACATAAACAAGTATCAAGTACGAGCGATGTCACCGTTGGTGCCCTTGAAAATAAAAATAAACTAACCCAAAGTATGATTCATTTGCAACTCACACTTTGATAATATTTTCAGTAAAGAAAGTGTTCAATTAAGACTTTTTTCGATCACTTGACAACTTCCATATTTTACAAATGCCTATTTTATCATTTGAATAATCACAATTTACTTAATAAACTTCTATAATCAGACATTTGTATCATCGCTAGCGGAAATGAGATTAACTAAGCTATGTATAATATTTGAAGATGGATGATCGAATTCGATTGCTTCGAGCTGCAATGGATTGGCAGACAGAAGTTATGCTTGAAACAATTTTGGGTTATGGAGTAGATATTCATCTGCTGGGCCTACAACAAATTGCTCAAAAACAGGGAGGACGAATGCCCGCAATATTTGAAGATCCAACATACAAAAGGGCAAATCAGTTTAGACTGTCTACTAGCCAGGTAAATTTAACACCGTCAAATAAAAATTAGGATATTTACCTTAAAATTATGAAATATTTCTACTAAATACCTATTTATATGAATGAATAATCATCGTCTTTTGAAAGTATCTCAAGCCATATCAGTAAATTACAAATATAAAAAACTTTTAAATTATTATTTATAAAGATAGAAGAAACGATTTGCTTAGTACTCATCTAAGTTAAAACTCGACTATTCAGTAAAATTTAATTTCAAGAGTTTTGTTGAGAAATAAATTTTTGGTCTTTCTGTGAACGTTCGCAGTTCTCACGCTGCCACCTACGTTTAAGTCGAAAAGTCATTTAATTAGATTTGAACTGCAATAAATGTTATTGATTCTCCCAATAACTGCCATTTAATTGCCTTTAATTATTTCTCCAACTATAAATTGATGTCAAAGTTAGATTTGCACGTGTGGAGATAAAAATGTTGACGTGCGAAAAAGTTTTCTCAAAGCTTTCGAATAGAACGAGGCAAAACAATAACAAAGCTTGATATTCAAATGCATGCATGTGGCCTTCAAATGTCGATTCACAAGTGAGATGAGCTGCGTTTTAAGTTTTGGAAAAAATTGTTTACAAAGTTGACTTCCTTTAACTTCATTTAATGTGAATGTCTGCATAAGAAAAACGGCGAATGCTGATTGATATGAGCTTATAACAAGTGGATTACAAAATTTTTTAGCTTAAAATAGTTAGGGCCCAACTATTATTTAATAACGAGTTTTTAACCCAGTTTCATAGTTAGAGATTTTAAAATAAAAAGAATAATTTTTATTTCCACCAGGTTCCAACAAAGATGGATGCCTTCATGTGCTACGGAGCTGTAGTACCAGACGGATATGGTACGGCATATAATCCCCATCCTGATAGTATAGTTGCTGTAATCAGTAGTTGGAAGAGTAATTCAGACACCAATGCCGAACAATTTGCCAATCACCTGGAACAATCCCTGATAGAAATGCACGATCTCGTTCTATCAAACCCAGAACTGGCAAAACAGAAGTCGCCAGAGCCGAATCAATGGACAATCCCCGAAGAAATTACCGGGGTACCAGAAAACTGATATGCACATATTTATGAAAAAAAGCAAAAAAATAGACTCCGTAATATCTTCCAAGAAATTAATGAGAGAAAGAGAGAGAAAGATATATCGGCTTTATGCCAAACCCCTCAGTCAACACGGCTGGTTGTGATTTGTACAAAATACTATCCCGGTGATTACCATGGGAAATACTATTATTATTATTACTAATCTATTCTCAATAGGTGCTTAGATTCACTTTATCTTCATTAGATGTTGTTTAACTTCAGCAAATGTTTAACTTGATTCTTCACCCCTTTCCCCCC